GCGCAATTTATAAAACAAGAGCCAAGTCTTGCGCAGTTGTATTGCCTCCTCTCCTCTTTCTCCGGTGTCACCGCACACTGGGAGCTTCTCACAATGCGCATTAGAAGCTGCAGCAAGTCACATAGAGCTCTATCAGTTGCACAGTAGTTCTCATATGCTAACACGTGCCCTGCTGATGGCAGGAGAGAACAGAGGGACAGAGAGGTGACTTCATCGGTTGCCGCTTCTCCTTTTACTGTCCAATCACAGGCTGGGGGGAGGGACAAGACCTGTAAGCGTTACCTAACTGCAATAGACAGGGCTGTGCTGTGTAACTGTTGGACTGAATGGACAGAAATACCAATCGTGTATCAGGTGAAATGACTTCCTGTGTATGTGTACATCGGTGACACGCTCATCCTTTCTACATTGTTTAGACTTCTCTGGGGACCCCCAACCAGGGACACCCTTATAATGAGGCAGATATAAGACTGAAGTGAAGGACGGAGGTCAGATAGAAGAGTGAAGGGGAGGACAGAGGTCAGATAGAAGACTGAAGGGAAGGACGGAGGTCAGATAGAAGACTGAAGGGAAGGACGGAGGTCAGATAGAAGACTGAAGGGAAGGACGGAGGTCAGATAGAAGACTGAAGGGAAGGACGGAGGTCAGATAGAAGACTGAAGGGAAGGACGGAGGTCAGATAGAAGACTGAAGGGAAGGACGGAGGTCAGATAGAAGACTGAAGGGAAGGACGGAGGTCAGATAGAAGACTGAAGGGAAGGACGGAGGTCAGATAGAAGACTGAAGGGAAGGACGGAGGTCAGATAGAAGACTGAAGGGAAGGACGGAGGTCAGATAGAAGACTGAAGGGAAGGACGGAGGTCAGATAGAAGACTGAAGGGAAGGACGGAGGTCAGATAGAAGACTGAAGGGAAGGACGGAGGTCAGATAGAAGACTGAAGGGAAGGACGGAGGTCAGATAGAAGACTGAAGGGAAGGACGGAGGTCAGATAGAAGACTGAAGGGAAGGACGGAGGTCAGATAGAAGACTGAAGGGAAGGACGGAGGTCAGATAGAAGACTGAAGGGAAGGACGGAGGTCAGATAGAAGACTGAAGGGAAGGACGGAGGTCAGATAGAAGACTGAAGGGAAGGACGGAGGTCAGATAGAAGACTGAAGGGAAGGACGGAGGTCAGATAGAAGACTGAAGGGAAGGACGGAGGTCAGATAGAAGACTGAAGGGAAGGACGGAGGTCAGATAGAAGACTGAAGGGAAGGACGGAGGTCAGATAGAAGACTGAAGGGAAGGACGGAGGTCAGATAGAAGACTGAAGGGAAGGACGGAGGTCAGATAGAAGACTGAAGGGAAGGACGGAGGTCAGATAGAAGACTGAAGGGAAGGACGGAGGTCAGATAGAAGACTGAAGGGAAGGACGGAGGTCAGATAGAAGACTGAAGGGAAGGACGGAGGTCAGATAGAAGACTGAAGGGGAGGACGGAGGTCAGATAGAAGACTGGAGGGAAGGACGGAGGTCAGATAGCAGACAGATGGGAAGGCTGGAGGTCAGATAGAAGACTGAAGGGAAGGACGGAGGTCAGATAGGAGACTGAAGGGAAGGACAGAGGTCAGATAGAAGTCTGAAGGGAAGGACGGGGGTCAGATATAAGATTGAAGGGAAGGACGGAGGTCAGATAGAAGACAGAAGGAGAGGCCGGAGTTCAGCTTTAAGGTACCACCTTGCATGGGTGACACGTGTAGCGGTATTTCCTGCGCCTGGAATCATTGTATATTTATAACTCTGAGTTCCTCTCATACATGAGGATCCGTCATTGGCACCCAATTCTCTGTAACTGAGGAATGGGCTACAGGGGCCGGAACGCTCCGTGCTGTCACCACCATGTGACCAAACCACTCACAGACATAAGGCGGTGGGTGGCGGCCTTGCAGCTGATTGGTGTGCGCAGTGCCAGGCGGCAGTATTAACAGGTCAGACCTCCGCTATGTAGGACTGCAATCCATCTCCGCAGGAGGCCGCGCTGCAATCTTTGGGTGTGAATCTAGATGCCGCCTTCCATATGGTCATCACAAGGCCAAGTACATGACATGGCTTTGCAACTCGGCGTCACATTATGGCAGCCGGTGCTCCTGACATCAGATTAGAGGCTGACCAGAAGAATCTTCACAGAGGTCAGAGGAGGAGGAAGAGTCTCCAGAAAACATATGACACGGGACATTGCATGTACACGTTGGCTCAATGTCCCCGCAGGAGAATCCCGTCTCCTCTGAACGCCTGTCAGACTCTGAAGAATCAAGAAAAGATAAAGGACTCGAGTCACATTGCTTCACACCATTTCCACTGCGATTTTCCTCCCACGGCCTCCAATTACTCGTCCTTCACTGGTGAGGTGAAACTTTAACTGTGCGGGTGCAGAGAAGGAAGACAGAAAGGCTGAGATTGGGAGAACATTACTACTCCTTCCCTTCAGTCTTCTATCTGACCTCCGTCCTCCCCTTCAGTCTTATACCTGACCTCCATCCTTCCCTTCAGTCTTCTATCTGACCTCCGTCCTCCCCTTCAGTCTTCTATCTGACCTCCGTCCTCCCCTTCAGTCTTCTATCTGACCTCCGTCCTCCCCTTCAGTCTTCTATCTGACCTCCGTCCTCCCCTTTAGTCTTGCACAGTTGTACCGGCTCCTCTCCTTCACACTGGGAGCTTCTCACAATGTGCATTAGAAGCTGCAGCACGTCAGATAGAGCTCCGCCTCATTTCCTGGCTGGAGGACATCCAGCATCATCAGAGGAAGTTAGGAGGAGGAAGGGAGAAGAGAGGAAGGTGAGAAGAGAGGAAGGGAGAAGAGAGGAAGGGAGAAGAGAGGAAGGGAGAAGAGAGGAAGGGAGAAGAGGTGAGAAGAGAGGAAGGGAGAAGAGGTGAGAGGAAGGGAGAAGAGAGGAGGGAGAAGAGGGGCGGGGAGAAGAGAAGAGGGGAGTGGAGAAGAGAGGAAGGGAGAAGAGGTGAGAAGAGAGGAAGGGAGAAGAGGTGAGAAGAGAGGAAGGGAGAAGAGGTGAGAGGAAGGGAGAAGAGAGGAGGGAGAAGAGGGGCGGGGAGAAGAGAAGAGGGGAGTGGAGAAGAGAGGAAGGGAGAAGAGGTGAGAAGAGAGGAAGGGAGAAGAGGGGAGGGAGAAGAGGGGTGGGGAGAAGAGAAGAGGGGAGAAGAGGGGAGGGGAGAAGAGAGGAAGGGAGAAGAGGTGAGAAGAAAGTAAAGGATAAGAGGTGAGAAGAGAGGAAGGGAGAAGAGGGGCGGGGAGAAGAGAGGAGGGGAGAAGAGAGGAGGGGAGAAGAGAGGAAGGGAGAAGAGGTGAGAAGAGAGGAAGGGAGAAGAGAGAAAGGGAGAAGAGAGAAAGGGAGAAGAGAGGAAGGGAGAAGAGAGGAAGGGAGAAGAGGGGTGGGGAGAAGAGAAGAGGGGAAAAGAGAGGAAGGGAGAAGAGAGGAAGGGAGAGGAGAGGAAGGGAGAAGAGAGGAAGGGAGAAGAGAGGAAGGGAGAAGAGAGGAGGGGAGAAGAGGGGAGGGGAGAAGAGAGGAAGGGAGAAGAGAAGAGGGGAGAAGAGAGGAAGGGAGAAGAGAGGAAGGGAGAAGAGAGGAGAAGAGAAGAGAGGAAAAGATGAGAGGAAGGGAGAAGAGGGGAGAAGAGAGGAGAAGAGAGGAAGGGAGAGGAGAGCAAGGGAGAGAAGAGGAAGGGAGAGGAGGGGAGAGGAGAGGAAGGGAGAACAGGGGAGAAGAGGGGAGAAGAGAGAGGAAGGGGGAGAAGAGAGGAGAGGAGACGAGAGGAAGGGAGAAGAGAAGAGAGGAAGGGAGAAGAGAGGAAAGGAAGGTAGAAGAGAGGAAGGGAGAAGAGGGGAGAAGAGAGGAAAGGAGAGCAGAAGAGAGGTGGATAAGGGCAGAGGAGAGGAAATGAGGAGTAGCATACTACAATGTCAGGCATAATAAGGGAAAGAACCACCAGACAGACAGTTTGAAGTTCACAGTATAACTGTGTGAAGTAATAAAAGACGATATCTCTCTCTCTCTCTGTATCTCTCGCTCTCTCTCTCTCTCTCTCTCACTCTCTCTCTCTCTCTCTCTCTCTGTCTCTCTCTGTATCTCTCTCTCTCTCTCTCTCTCTCTATCTCTCTGTATCTCTCTCTCTCTCTCTCTCTCTGTATCTCTCTGTATCTCTCTCTCTCTCTCTCTCTCTCCCTCTCTCTCTCTCTCTCTCAGAACTTGGGAGCGGTGACAATGTAACTTGTTTTTCTTCTCTGGTTAGCAGAAAATTATGGCAATCTGATGTTCATCTGTCTGGAGGAAACGTGAAGAATGTGATGCATTGTGTGACAGAGGAACACAAAGCTGGAAAATAATAAGAATGCCGCCAATTTCCTCCAGACTCTGAAAATTGGAGCTCGGCATAATGCGCTTTCATAATGCCGCGCCTTTTGCAGAACCTATTGCGAGCCCCCAGCCGGAGAGGTCTGAAAGACCCCAAACCGAGAGGAAGAGTGGATTGGGGCCAAAGTGGAAACTCGATTATTTTTCTTTTGCTTCATGAATAAAATGAGAAGAAATGTCCCGCGGAGTCACATGGCAGAGCTCAGACTGTGCTGCCTTTAAAGGGGAACTCCACGCTTCCCACCATCCCACTTCCCCCGAAGCCACGCCCATTTCTTTTTTTTATATCCCTTTACATACTTTTTTTTTCTTGAACTCTTCCTGCCTGTCTGATAACATCACTGAAGCTTCATCTCACACCGCTCAGTCCTAGACCACTGTGAGCCCAGCCAGTGTGAGGATGTGCTCCCTAGTGGGGGGGGGGCTTGTAAATGAATAGCTTGGCTTACAGGAGATCAGCAGAATGAGTGTCATTCTTCCCTGAAGATCACCTCCGGTTCTGGGCCGAGGAGAAAGTCAGAGGCCAGTGCTGGAGTATGGAGAGGGTAAGTACAACTTGGGAACTCAAAAATATCATTCTATTGCAGTGCTCTCAAAGTACCGGCCCGCGGTCCAATTGCGGCCTGCGATTCGGTACTATGTGGCCCGCAGCCAGCTCACAAGTCTGGTACACGGTCACGGACTGCTTACCAGACTTGGGGGAGCAGCTACACGGTCTGCATCTCTGTCGGAAGCAGACCGTGTAGCTGATTCTGTGCTGGCACTCGGATCCTTTCGACTGGCGTCTTCGCTGAATGCTGGCCGAAAAGGATTGATTAGTAAGGTCTGCAGTAGACCTTACTAATCACCACTAGATCACCAGGGATCGATGATCGTGGCTCACAGCCTCCTCTAGCTTGAATGGGTGGCAGCGGCCGCTTGTAAACACCAGATTAGGGATTCCTGCTGCAGAAAAACGTAAGTTTCTGATGCAGGAATCCTCAATCGCACCTAAACCTACAGATATGAATGGGGCAGTGGCGTAACAACCGACATAGCGACCCAGGCGGCCACTATGGGGCCCGAACACCGGGTGGCCTGGCCAGGGCATCCCTCTCCTCTGATGCCGTGTGGGCCACCTGGGTCACTATGGCATATCAGGGTGCTGGCTGTCACTAACACAGCTCCGCAGCGGCTGTGTCAGTGACAGCCAGCAGCTGCGGCAGAAGAGGCCGGTTACACCGGTGTTCGATCGAGAGTTCGAACTCATCGAGTTCTCGGACCGCCGCAGTGAAGGAGGAGGAGGGGCCCGCCTAAGAGCAACCCCGCCTCCTCTTACATCACTGGCCAGCGACCTAATAGCATGTGGGGCCAGTGATGTAAGAGGAGTCGGGCCCGTCGTTAGGAGGCGGGGCCCGGGGAAGGAAGAGGAGGCGGGGCCCAGTGGAGGAAGAGGAGGTGGGGCCCGGGGAAGGAAGAGGAGGCGGGGCCCGGGGAAGGAAGAGGAGGCGGGGCCCGGGGAAGGAAGAGGAGGCGGACTGCACTGACAGGTAAAATGGTTGCGTGGCCCCCCAAGGTAGTTAAGTTTGAGACCTCTGTTCTAAGGCATGATTGTATTGCAATCATCTTGCGTCACCTACCTTTCCCTGAATAGTGTTCTGGAGGTAGGTCATAAGGCACTGGGAATGTTCCTTTCGAGTCATCTTTATTGGCATAGACATTGACCTTAACCTGGAATGTTCCATTTTCAAAGCCCTGCAGAAAAAAACAAAACAAACAAACAGTGAGTTTCAGACACTTCCTCCCTACCAATGAAATAGGATGGCCACTGCCCATCCACAGCCTCGGGGCGGGTCCATGACAGCCTGGGCTCAGACAAAGGGGGTTAAATTACACTGGCCGTCATTAAGCTCAGAAGACTGAGGTTACCTTGTGGAGGAAAGATGTACTGCAGGCATCTCTGGATTAAAGGTGAGTATTGCTGCAAAAGCGGCTTATATATCTTCTCATTTAACCCTTTGGCTGCCACCGGAGTAAGGCTTATGCCGGTGGCAGAGCTGACCGGTAAACAGTCTGCTGGCCGCTATAGCTTTTTTAGTGGAAGTGATTTGGGTGGCTGTGAAGCTTCCCTATGTACTGTAACATACTCCCAGTCTCTTCTGGGGTAATGGCATGAGTGGGGGCAGCAGGTGAGGGGAAGGGACGTCACGGGCAGCTTTCAGATTAGCGAGCTTGGAACACTGCGGTGGTGGTATCACAATGTGATTAGACTGGGTGGAGGGAGGTACTGGCAGCAACAGCCGGAACCCCTTGCTGATCTGCTGGGGCCTGGCACAGGAGCATTGCCTATACCCCCTATCGGCAGCGTTGTCTGTCATCAAACTGAACTCTGATTAGCTCTATGAGAATTACATCTTGGGCTCGGACTCCACTCGGCTTCATTTTTAAATAATGTTTATTCCAAAGTCTTGGAGGATACTCATTATGGACCCTTCCCTTTTTTTCAGTTGAGACTTGATCCTGGTTCCCAACAAGGCAGTCGTACAGTAGCAGATCACTTCTAATAGTGATCCCGATGGTTGCAATCAGCCAGCAATAGATCATTATACCATACCAGGATCTACTGCTGCAGGGGGAAGCTGGACAGCTCTGCCCGAGCCTCCAAAAGGACAGGAAGTGCCGTGATATCACTTGTGATGTCCCTACACTCCTAAGGTAAACACTATGCAGAAGCTTTGTGTTTACATTCTATTCTACAGCGTGCTCCTATTAAAGGGGATCTGTAGAAGATTAGTGCTGGACCCTGTCGATCAAAAACAGCCGGCAGTTCCAACCATAGTGCCCGGGGGAAAGGTTTGCCATTTCAAAATGGTCCTTATAATGGTTTCTCTTCCCCCCCATTTGGGGCAAAGAAACATGTTCCACCATGACTGTCCCCTGTGTACAAAGCCAGCTCCATAGAGACATGGTGTGATCAGTTTGGTGAAGACCTTTCTCTGTCCCACCATGCCTGTCCTCCTTGTACAAAGCCAGCTCCATAGAGACATGGTGTGATCAGTTTGGTGAAGACCTTTCTCTGTCCCACCATGCCTGTCCTCCTTGTACAAAGCCAGCTCCATAGAGACATGGTGTGATCAGTTTGGTGAAGACCTTTCTCTGTCCCACCATGACTGTCCTCTGTGTGTAAAGCCAGCTCCATAAAGACACGGTGTGACAAGTTTGGTGAAGACCTTTCTCTGTCCCACCATGACTGTCCCCTGTGTACAAAGCCAGATTCAGAAAGACACGGTGTGACCAGTTCGGTGTGGAGGAACTCAAGTGTCCTGGACAGAGCCCTAACCTCAACCCTACTGAACACCTTTGGGATGAATTGGAACACCAATGGGGAACCAGGTGTTCTCATCCAACATCAGTACCTGACCTCACACAAGTTCCCACAGACACCCTCCAGAATCTTGTGGACGCCTTCCCAAAAGAGTGGAAACTGTTATGGCTGTAAACAGAGAGGGGCACCTCCACATCAATAACCATGGCTGTGGAATGGGATGTCCAGCAAGCTCACATAGGTGGGATGGTCTGGAGACCACCAACCTTTGGCCATATAGAGTACTCAGCAAAAGTTCAGCTTCAGCAGTAGACTAGTCATAAGACAGCCAACAAATAAGAGATTTCATACAACGTCAGAGCAGCAACTGAGCTCAGAGAAATCCATTGTTTTCCCCCAAAGAAGTGTTAAGTTATTCAGACCTGGAAAGATCTAACATATTCCTCTGAACTCTGCCTGAGATGAGCTTTCCTGATGTACAATGAAGTTGCCAGCGTTGAATGTAAAGTGGAAACTCCTCTCCTTTATGGATGTATGGACGTGACAATGACACATGCCTGCGGGGTGCGGAGGGTGTAACGTTCCAATGTATGAAACTAATGGAATCAGAGCTATATACAGTGTATACTATAGGTGGGCTGAGATCTTGCTGGGGAAGGGGGCGGGGTCTGGGCAGCCTCACTTGAAATGAACACTGTAAAGACAACAGTGTCTGCTTAACAACCTAACCCCCCTCCAGCTCTCAATGCCTGTAACATGTTAGGATGGCAGTACCGTTGCATGAATTTATAAACCTCAGTAATGCATCTCTATTGCTGACGCTGCTGACGCTTCCACTATGAGCGAGGTTTCTGCTGCTCAGGGAAGCGCATATAGATTTTAGTTAAAGCCGAGCTCTGGAATACCATCACATTTTCCTCAATACTTTCTCCGGCCACAACAAAAAGGGGCTTTTTTTTTATCCTTCTTTCCAATTTCTGCCAAAATCGCCATGATAAAATTCAGTGACATTATTATCTTTGCCTGCAAAGTGCAGGTATCCCCGGGCACATGGAGGAGGGACCACTGAGGCACCAACGTCCGACCTGCTGACTCTTTTGCACTGCCTAAACCAGGGGTAGGCAACCTCGGCTCTCCAGCTGTGCTGAAACAACAAATCCCATCATGCTTCTGCCTCTGGGAGTCATGCATGTGGCTTGCAATGTCTTATGGGATTTGTAGTTTCAGCACAGCTGGAGAGCCAAGGTTGCCTACCCCTGTCCTAAACGAAGTACAAATCCCATGATGCATTGGGACATGATCAATTATGTTGGGCACACATGGCAGGCAGGTTGGGATGGGCGGAGCAGACTGGGAGTCTCCTGCCTGTCAATCAACCAATGCAAGTCAGGGATGACCAGAGCAGATCGGAAGTCTCCTGGCCTATCAATCAACCTCTGCAAGTCAGGGATGGGTGGGGCAGATGGGGGTCTCCTGGCCTGTCAATCAACTGTTGCAATT